TTTCACACTGCACTGATAGGGGTTTTATTGATCACAGTCCAATCACATTGAAGTTTAATAAATTGGCAAACTATTCCCTGTCTGGTCTTATTGATCAGTGATGAGTTCCGGTGATGAGTAATTGATCAGTTACTGAGTTCAGCTCAGGCTGACCTGTAATTCCTAATTAATCGATTATCTACCCACGTCAATCCGCAGAGCATCGATTATTGCCCACCATTCGTCAGTTTGCCATCGTATTATTGACTGGTCTATTAATCAGTTTTGTTATCGACAAACAGGAAGTTCCTGATGCTAAATGTTAGCACGGAAAAGCTAAAGGAGAGACACAACGTATAAAAGAGGAAGCGAGCTCCTCCCGAAACTCACCTCCGATTACTGACCAATAGATCCTACTCCCGCTCCGATCTCTAATCGATAATTTTTAAACTTTGAGTTGAGAGCCGAACTTCCTTTTCTTCCGCTGTTAACGCACTTCCTCTTCTTCTGTGGTGCAACAGGGGACAGAGTGAATCAGTGACACCTGCTGGAGGAGAAGAGAACTGCAACAACAAACGCCTGAACTATTAATTTATACTGAGCACCGAAAAGGTTTTACACAACCGCGCAGAGAGCGAGAGAATAGAATAGAAGAGAATAGGAGATTCTATTCTATTCCACTAAGGAACTAGAAATTTAGAAAAACGACAATTTTACTCAAGAATTAACTAAAATTAAACATTTCAAAATATATACTACACTTAAACTTCCGCCTGGAAATGAACTGAAACTGAATAAGGAAAAACTGAAAGCGTACCAGCCTCATCATCAGCCAGGTTTATAACCACAAAGGAGTCCAAACGAAGAATGAGCTCTGGAAACTAGACAGGAAGTCTTGAAACTGCAAAAACTGAAGTTGTGATCTCTTCCCCCCAGTTTTAAAAGTGTTGTTGTTGTTGTTTTGCCTAACTGCTCCTTATGTTCTTGTGTTTATTTTCAGTCAGACTTCAAAACCACTGAAATGATCACATGACCGGAACAGAAATTAGGTGATAGAGGAGTTTATTGATTGTATAATTATGAATTATTTGAAACACTCGGAACCCTAACGAGCTGATAAATTTGTTTGTTTGTTTTTACTTGAGGCCCTAATGGATGAATGGGTTGCTAAATTTGGGAAAGAACTGACATGTATGTAAGTGGCATGTATGTTTTGACACCCTGTAGCGTAACCATGACAACAGCCAATCAGAGCTGCCTACTAATGTTTTTCATGGCCGCGATTAACTTCCTGTCAGGCTGTCATGGTAATATGTCACATATCACTTATTTGAGGCCTTTGCCTTGCTGTTGCCAAGGAAACAGTGGCCTGGTGCTTTCTGTTGTCATGGTTACCGATGGTCAGCTGTGAGGATCAGCTGCAGTTTTGAAAAAACAATAACACAAAAATAAAGCTTACAGCAGTGTGTGTGTGTTTGTGTTCCTGTCTAGCTATCTTTATGAGCACCGAAATCTGCATTCTACTATACTTGTGTGGACCAGCAGTCACTTGTGAGGACACACACACCGGTCCTTTTTGAGGCTCAAAATGTGGTTTGTCAGGGTTACAATTAGATTATGGTTAGGTATAGGGTTAGGGTTAGGCATTCATTTTAATGGTTAGGGTTAGGGTAAGGGGCTAGGGAAACCATTATGTCAATGAAGGTCCTCACTAAGATAGCTGAACGGGCTTGTGTGTGTGTGTGTGTGTGTGTGTGATCTCTTACCCTGACATCTAGCTTCAAGCATCCTGTCACCATCTCCATGGCAACAGAGGGAGAACTATGGCATACAGCAGATTTGGAAGAACAAACGTGTGTAACATTTTAAAAAATCCTCCTGATTTTATTTTGAAAATCTCCTCCTGATCTATATTTCTAATAAACTCTATTTCAGAACTGAAGAATCTCAGCAAATAAAAGACGAGTAGAAAATGTGTGTGTGTGTGTGTGTCTTTCAAAGGTGTGTGTGTGAATAGAAACCTGCGTGTCCAAACTGAAAGCAGGGTGTGTGTGTCTGAGCAGATGTGAAGGTCGTCAGATTAAAAGCGTGTTGAATGAATCAGACATGTTCATCGCCTCCGTGTGTGACATCATCAGTTTTTATTTGAGGGGAAACTCTTGCCTCAACTCCAGACACACCTGAGCTCAGTTAGCCCATTTAACCTCCGCGTGGGCTCAGGCTTTATTTAGCCCTACACCGTCCCGATGATGATGGTGATGACGTTTGGTTCTTTCTAATGACCCCTGACCCCTCCTGTGGGCCGAATCCCTCAAAGGAGGTGTGAAGTGAGCGACACCTGAGGCTCTCCAGCCTCTCCGGGCTTTTGGACCGTTTTCCAGTCCTGTGGGAATCTCCGTGACTCTGAGCTGCAGAGATTTGAGGCTGCAGTTCTGATGAAAATGACTGAAAATAGAAGCTGCTGTTCCGCAGAGAGCAGCTGAACCCACTGAGCGTGCTCACTGAGCGTGCTCACTGAGTCATGTCTCCAAACCTATGAGCATGCTACACTCACTGCAGCTGCTTCACTGAAATCACTGTGCGTCTAGTAAAAAAACATAAATTTTATCGTTCACAGCTGCTTCTAGGTCTAATTGACAAACTTACTTTGATTCAATAAGCTGATTGAGGTCAAAGTTCAGCAGAGAGGTTGATCTTTTTTTAATTTTGTTTTTGTGATTTGATTTTTTGGCAGCTCTTCTCCAAACAAGAGCATTTAATGAAGGTTTTAAGTTAATTCATGCTTTGATTTGAAATATAATTGCTTTGTATTTATTAGAATCTTTATTAAGGTGGCTGCAATGAAACCATCCAGGTGTTTTCAGGTGTGTTAGTTCACTGTAGACCAGGTTTGTTCCATTAAGCAGAACTCAGATCTGTTCTTGGTGAATGTTGGACTTTTTCAGGCTTTCTAAGTGCAGCCAAGCGATGGAGGGTGAGGGGTGGGGGGGGTTGATGGTCTCAGAATCTCTCTGATGCGTTTCTGTTGGTCCATCAGATGATGATCTCCAGTAGGGAGTGAAGCGGTACACAGGAATAACAATGAAGTGTCCCGTCCAGGTCAGCACGCCTCCTGGTCTCTAGGAGAGCTGTTTCACATCCAAATGGAGAGACAGAGGTTTGACAGGGAGGCCTGGGAATGTCCTGCTGCTTCCCAGAAGAACTGGAGGAGGGGGCTGGACACCTTTTGGAGGAAGAACACTGAGAAAGTAGTTCTAAAACAGCTGGGTTTATTTGAAGAGTTTCCATCAGGTTTCAGAGCCCATCACAGCACAGAAACAGCTTCAGTGAAGGTTACAGGTGATCTTCTTATGGCCTCTGATCTCTGTGCTTGTCCTGATGGACCTCAGCGTAGCATTTCACAGCTTTCATGTGTTCCAGTTTCATAAAGTTTCATTTTTATCTGAGAAGCTTCTTCAGACTAAATGGTGGAGAGTCCCAAATATTTAAACCCTAGTGGGAGTGTCCCTTAAGTGGGTCGTTCACCCACTTTTGACCATGTGCCTCACCACATGAGCCAAGGTGTGAAAAAGGTTTCAGGTTAAACTATTGAGACCTTGCCCCACCCTATCATGTGACCTACTGATGTCACATGTTTTGAATGGGCGTTAAGGCATCTGGGAAGGATCTCAGACTGGATTATAGATGGCAGACAGTTGGTGTTGTAAGCCCCGCCCTCTGTTCAAAGATGGTTGTTCACAGTGGACATAGATGCTTCCTTCACTCCATCTGTCTTCTCTGTCCAACATGTGGGGATTCTCAAAGAGTGACCTTTGACCTTTAGATGCAGATGAACAGCTGAGTTTTGTCCTGTGCGTGAACTGGCTGTTTGCTGTCTCAGATACTATATCCACTCATGAGAAACTGAAGGGGTTACCACAGACTGGATAAAAAATCCTCAGGAAGTTATTCCTGAAGACTGGGCGATGCTGGTGTTTACATTTGCTGATGTTTCTGCAAAACAAAAGACTGAAAGGTTCCTGTGCCTCGTGTCTATCTGCAGACCCGGCTAATCAATAAGCTGAACTCTGCTCCTGTCTCTGATCAGCCATGTCCTTCAGAGATGCTCGACACGCTGCGTTCCTGTGAGAACTCACACACTCCGTGAATGTTTTCTCTGATTTAAGATTTGGAGTCACACGGCAGGAGGCGATGAACCACGCGTGATTCATCACAAACTCGCTTTATTGTGACGACCTTCCCGCCTCCTCGCTGCTCTCGTCTCCTTCCAGCTCGCTCGGTTTGTTAACAGATGATTTAGAAAGAGTTTTTTTAAACTCAAAGAGAGGAGCTGATCCAAGCTTCAGGCACCGAGGAGATCTCAGCCCAATCAGAATCAAATAATCACCATCAGCACGCCACTTGGCATGTGCGTGCTTGGATTTAACAACATCAAACTAACGTGATGTGTGACGTCACACACAAAGAACACAAACAAACATTTGCTGAGAAAAGTTCACAAATGATTTATCATGAGATGGTCTCAGCTGTTCAGCTGCCATGTTATTGATTAGCTCTCACTCTGAGAACACGCCAGGAGAACCCGTCACACACACACACTCAGTGTGTGGGTGTGTGTGTGTCTCCCCAGAGGACGGCTCAGCCGGATCGTAAAATCTCGGGTCTCATGAGGCCCATGGTCTGTTGCTCTCAGTTTGTCAGAAGCTCTGAGTGTGGACTTTCTCATCACTCAGGTGTTCCCAGGTTACTTCGTTCTTCGTCTTTATTTACCTGAAACCTTCAGCATCTTCTCAGAGTCCCACCTGTAAAATATATGAAGAGTTTTTTTTTTTATATGTTTCAGCCTTTTGTCTGACCTTCTGACATGGACTCCACCTGTGACGCAGTGGGAGGAGCTTTAATGTCAGGTGTTTTGTGTAAATCCCATTGTAACTCTAATGTGAAAACCTGATTTCATTGTTATTGTATTTTGTGCAACACTGAGACGATGTTTAAATGATGGACAGGTGGAGTCAGTGAGGTTTTCAGCTTTAACCTTTAATGTGGTTTTCTGATCGGAATCAGCCAACAGAGGTCAGAGTTCATAAACACATGAGCTGCTGCCTAAATGGAGAGTTTGACATCTCTGGAGTAAAGGTCAAAGGTTAAAGGGGTCGCCTGTATAAGTGTACTTTGGGTCAAACCCTGCAGCGTTTCACACAGAAGAAGAAGTAGTCAGATACTTCACACTCCGCCCGCTTCTCCATCCGGACATTCAAACCAGATGCTTTCAACACTTCAGCTGACTGGCTCTACGGTCACCATGGAAACAAAGGAGGGGTTCAATAATGCCACAGACCGCCGGGTTGCCTCTCATGCCTAACCTGAGGGGGCATCGCATGGTGTGAGTTTATCTCACCACCATTTCACTGTGTGAGCGCATTATTCCCCGACTCTTCTGAGCAACAGGACCTGACTGTCTGTGAGTTCAGTCCAAGATCGAATCAGGATGAGAAACTATCAAAGTAAAGTCACCTGAGTCCTGTTTGGAAAACAGCAAAAGGAGGGTTAGGTTGTGTCTCACTACACCCTGTATTCACACACACTCACTCCGATGGAGGCGTCGGGGGAAACTCAAGTTGCTTTTTGATCGGTCCGATCGATGTATCCTTCTCATTGTGATGGAGCTGATGGCAGCGCCCCTCCTCAGCAGCAGGATGACGGTCAGTTGACGAATTCGCCCGACAGACTGCGGCCGCAGCGAGCTGAACGCATCTTCAGCTCGTGGTAGCACTGGACAAAGCTGTGATAGATGAAGGTGATGGGCAGCGCCAGCAGGACGATGCCGCTCACCACGCAGAGGCCTCCGAGCACGCGCCCCGCCACTGTCATCGGGTACATGTCCCCGTATCCCACTGTGGTCATGGATATGATGACCCACCAGCAGGCAGCGGGGATACTGGCGTAGTCATGGTTTCCAGCCTCCAGGTCAAGGCCGTGCTCTAGCAGCTGAGCCAGCGCACTGAAGATCGCCATGGCAACACAGACAAAGACCAGGAGCATTACCATCTCACGATAGCAGCGACGAAGCGTCAGGCCAAGTGTCTGCAGGCCCATGAAGTGACGCGCCAGCTTGATAACCCAGAAGATCCGCATCGTGCGAAGGACACGCAGTGTCACACCGGCTCGCTGCAGCTGCGAGTTCTCGCCCGTCAGGCTCGTCATGGCAACAGAGATGTAGTATGGCAGGATGGCCAGAAGGTCAATGATGTTCAGAGGCCGCTGAATGAAGTCCCACTTATCACGAGACACTAGGAAATGGACAATGCACTCTGCCGTGAACCAACCAATGCACACCGCCTCGATGATGCTGCAAGGGAGGGGCCACAGGGGACAAATGAGAAAGCAGAGAGAGACCAATGAGATGTTGCTGAAACAAATCTGAACAAATCACAGGTGGCGATGTCAGACAATCTTTCACAATGGTTTCACACAGAGGGGGAGTTAAGTTATTCATATTAGGTACACTGACAATGACGCAATGGTTAACACATTTGCTTGGTGAGCAAAAGGTTGCTGTTTGATTCCAGCTGGAGACACAGATGCCTCTGCACATCTCACAGCCAACTCAAGCATGCAGAGCTACCACTGTGGCAAGAAGCTTTACACACACAGGAGCATGTACACTTTGTGACTTATCAGTCAATTATCAATAATCCGCTACTGGTCCTGGTTCTGCTCCGAACCTGCTGCAGGTACCCGTCAGAACTGGACCGGGTCTGTCAGGGGCTGATTCTGAATAGTGCAGTGTGTGTGTCAGTGTGAGTCCTACCTTTGCTGTTCCAGCGCCGTCCAATCAGGTAAGGTGCTGGCACATAGCATCACCATGGAGATGACTACAAACAGCACTGACACTGAAGCAAGGAGCTGCGCAGCCAACGAGGACGTGGGCTCCTCAAATGTTCTCCTCATCCTCTCCAGCCAAGGATTCTGCGTAATCTCAGGGCCACGTGGCGGCTCCTCCTCCGGGAAGAAGTGCACGAGGGCTTCAGACATGCGGTCGTCCAGAAGACGCTGGCAGCACAGCTGCAGATCGGAGCTCTCCAGGCCCCAGTACAGCATCTCGTTGTAGAAGGAAAGCTCGCACATGTGTGGCACAAAGCGCAGTTTCCCGTGCTGCACGTACAGCATGATGAAACTGAAGGCCTCAGAGTGGCGGTCAAAGAAGAACTCATTGCGATCACGATCGTAGTCATCGCAGAGCTCAAGAAGCTCGCTCTCCGACACGCAGCGAAGCAGTCGACTGAGTCTGCTGAGGGGGAGACGCCTCATCAGCTCTGCGGTGTAGGAGAACCTGCGGCCACCAACGTTCAGCGTGCAGAGGCTGCTGCCACATTTCATGTTTTCTCTGCGTGAGGAGGCGTTGCCGCAGTTCGTGCTGGAAACCTTCAGACTCCTGCGAGCGCAGCCAAGATGCTCCAAAGTTTCATGTCAGCAGCCAAAGAGTGCGAGAACGCTGTTGCTTCTCAAGTTTCCTCCTCAGATAAAAATGTCTTCGCAGCTTCAGTGAAAACGGAAGCGTGTCAGGAATGTAAAGAAGATCAAATGAGCAGTGACCCACTTTCATCGATTATTTTTAGTCAAACTGAATCAATGCCATAGACATCTGCTCAGCAGAAATCAGCGAGGATTCTCTTTGACTTCTGCTGCATCTCTGAGAGTGAAGAGCAGCAGCTCACCCTCCTCCTCCTCCTGTCAGAGAGGGGGAGGATCACTCGCTGATCCGAAGAGTCTGAGCCAGAGACACTTTATATCCCCCAAAACCTCCTTCCTGTGCTTCAGCATCTCCTCATCCTCTCCTGCTGATCTTCTTCCTCTTTAGCTGTGCTCATTTTCATATTAAACATTTAATCCTCTTAATCATAATTTAATGTTTCAGTGCGCATCAAAGCATGTGTGCATAATGATTTTATGAACTCAGTAATAACCTGCAGAGCTGTGGAAAGGTTTCCCCCTGCTGGACACAGCTCATCATCATCATCATCATCATCATCATTATCATCATCATCATCATCATCATCATCATCATCATCATCATCCTCATCATCATGATCGGATTTTGGAGAAAACAAGGAACTACAGCCATGCAACAAAAAAGAATAAAGATTAATAAATGCCTGTACAAGGCTAAGTTGTTCCAAATGTTTTACGAGCTGTAACGGTGCCCTCTGAGCTTACGCTTAGTTTTCGATACACTCATGAGCAGCTGATCGGCCGACCTGAGAGAACAGGAAGTAATGTGGGACGAGATAATTAGAGCCTTTTAAAGCAATTCCAAAAGTGATCCTAAAATTTATAGGCGGCCAGTGGTTCCAGGTTAAAATGGGAGAAACATGCTCATAATTGTGTGTGCTGGTTCAAAGACATGCAGCAGCATTCTGTACCAACTGAAGATGAGCCACTGAAGAAGCACCAGCCCTCAAGCAAAGCTCATTCCAGTAGTCCAGCAGAACGGTAACAAAGGTGTGGATTACACTCTCAAAGTGCTGCCTGGGCCAAGGAACAAAGATCAACAAGGGTGTCAGAGTGATACCTGCAAACGTCAACTTCAGTCTTTTTCTCATTACAATTGAAGAGGTTAAGGGCCTGGATGGCCTTTAAGTCTTCAACACACTTGAACAGCAGTCTAGCAGAATATGCTTCTGTCACGACGTAACTGTCTCCAGGTTGTTGGACACAGGTGCTACCAATGATGCCATGATGTACAAAACAACATAAAATAATCTATTTTTTACAGTAAGGCGTTCTCATAGAGCATATTATTCAATAACATAAACATTCAGATGTTGACCTTTACAAAATGTTGACACATTCTGTGACTAACATATAAACAGCTCTGTCACAAAAACATCTTATTTTTCTAGCAACACATAAAATGCTAATTGCATACCTCAATGGCTGCATTAACGTGAAGGGAGCATTGACACTCACACTCTTTACCCACAGCTGGAAAACTTCGCTGCATGCATCTCCAAATCTCTACCACCCACTGAGAAAGGGAAACATGCTGCCCTCTACCGAGTGTGGCGTGTAATTTAAAATATCGTCAACTAAAAAACAGATTGAACATTGTTTCCACCAATGTTTGTTTTGAAACCAACAATCTAAACATTACAATCTGATTTTTTAAACATGAAGTTGCTTATTTATTCTAGCTTAAAAACATAAAATTAACTTAAAATGCATAAAGAACCTAGAACTTTTATTATCATTATACAGTTGCTTGCACAGTGAAGTTCGGCAGCAAGATCACAAAGGTCCGAAAGTAAAGAAAACAATATACAAAAAAAGAAAAAGAAAAAACAAGCATTACAAGGGTATCATAATAAAATATAATAAATAATAAATAAGGGTGGAAGGTCATTAAGGACGTGGATCATCTGCACATCTGCCGAAATATTGCAGAGGAGAAAAAAAATGGGAGCATAATAAATAGCAGCGACAGAGTGGCTGTATGGCTGTATGGGAGAGGTCATACAGTCATACAGCCACTGTATGACCTCTGCTCACACTCTTGCATTAAGAGTTCTGACAGCCCACGGGAAGAAGCTGTTCTTTTGTCTGATGGTTTTGCACCTGATGGATCTGAAGCTTTCTCCAGAGGCCAGGATGTTGGAGAGGTGGTGGTCAGGGTGGAGGTGGTCACGAGCTTGGCTACACTTTGGGCCAGCACCTTCCTTGGCTTGCCCGGTACTGGGTTGCCATGCCCCAAACCTCATGAATCCAACATATAACGTTGGAAGAAATCCACAGCAGACCTGACCACGTCTCCATGCTTTCCAGCATACACTTTTATTTTCTGCTTTGGCTCTCGGAGGAGGCGCACGCACTTTTTCTCCTGTCCTCTCCCTTAGCTTCCCTGCTTAGTTCTTATGTCCTTGTCTAGTCTCGTGTTTTTTGTATTATTTTCCCTGGAACGCTCTCTCACAGTCTGTGTCTAAAACCTAAAGAGAATTATGGATCAACTGGTCTCTGAATGCTATTGACACCCTTTTCTCAACGAGAAGTCTGGGCTCGGGAGAGCCCGAGTGCCCTGGAGGGACTTTCCCTGCCGGATACACGATGGACGGGTGGCAGAAATGGAGGATCGTGTGCCTGGCAGGACTGTGGATCGAGGACGCTGAAGATATCTACCTATTCTGAACCATGGTAACAGGGTTCTTGCTGATCGGAGCTGGCTTGGCCCTGGCTTAATGGAGAATTAAGAGAGCGGAACCGGCTGTTCAAACCGATGGGACGAGGCACGACTTCTCAGAAAGGGCTCACTGAGTGCAGCATGGTTAAGAGCTTGGAGGCGCTTACGGCTGCAGTGAATGCTCAGAATAAGACCTCTGAGCGTACATTGGATTACATCAAGGAAAAGTCCACTCCGAACAACACCTCTGAGCGGAAGTTGGATCACATCTTGGAACAGCTGACTGCGGTCGTGAGGTCTCAGAATCGGCTCTTTGAGCACAAGAATGACAACACCACGGAACTGAAGGTTAATACCATCATGGAGAAACTCGCGGTTCTCCAACGGGAGATTGAGAGACCAGTGTCGGAGTGTTAAAGAACAGCTTGAAATTCTCATGAGTTGTTGCAAAAGAAAAATTACCATCATAATGCGGCTACCCTACGGCGCCAGCTGTGGGCTCAAGGCCGGAGCTCAAGGCTGGAGCCGAACAAAACACCCTGATAACGACTGTGTTTAGTCTGTTCTTCCCGTTCCATGCAAGGCCACCTGGGTTGGCTGGAAGACTGTTTACTTAGCCTGTCAGGGCGAAGGACACTGTCTCAGCTGAACTATGGAGACACACACACATACATATACTGATACTGATAAGCACTCACCGACGCATCACCCTCCCTACCCCGGATCCAACGCCACCTCCAACGCTTACCTCCCCTCTGATGTGGACATCGGGTCAGTTGGAGGCGCAGTCAAAGATTGCAGCGGTCCCAGATCAGATGTACACACTGGAACTCTTTCCCATGTTGCTTGTCTGTGTTTATTGTGCTATGGTGTGTTGATATCTGTGCATTCCTGTATTATCCTTCTGTGTTACACATTTCGATGTTTTTTTCCTCGCTACTTAGCCTGAACTGTCTCCCCAATGTGATGTTTGTGTATTGTATGTACGGTCGGCAAGGTCTGTCATCTCGATTGTGGGCAAAAGACCTGCAACTGACAAATAAAGGCTATCTCATCATCTCATCTTTTATTTGTGGTTGCTGTTCTTTACACACACAGCTGCAGCTTTTCAGCTCGCAGCCGAGCACATCACCAGCAACACCAACCCTCAGACCGGACCCAGTTCTTCCTTTTATGCAGGTGAGGCGTGATTCAGGTGTGTTCACCTCGCTGCAGCCCCGCCACAAACGTGTAAAACAGAAACTTCTGTTTTAACCAAAACTAATCATCAGGTCTTCACATCAGACCTGGTTCTGAATCCGTTCTCTCCACTTTAGCATATTTCATTCATGTTGAACTCCTTTGTCTCTCATTAATGTTCGTTTTTACACTTTTGTACGAAGTCTCCATTTTTTTCTGTTTCTCTAATCATGCTCAGACTGAGGCACTGTACTTTGGAACAGAGTTAGCATCACCTGTGTTCTCGTTAACCTCCCACTGGGTTAAAGCATCGCGTGCTGCATTAAAAGGATCAAAGTTTAAACCGCTTCCTCAGCTTTGCTTTAATCTCTAACCTCTGAGTGGATCCTCATCTTCCCCAGTTCTCGACCGTCAGCTGACCCTCCTGTTCTTCAGTAGCTGGTAATACTGGTCCAACACGATAAACATTAGTTACAACCAGTCTGTGGCAAAGGTACCTGTGTGCAGGTTTTGGTTATACCATGCACTGACCAATGTACATTTTAAAAAGGCGGAAGATTCGAGGCAGAGTCCAGTCCATTTACAGGGTCTGCAGTCAGCTAGTGCGGGGTATGTTTGTGTTCGTATTGCTTCACGATGTCTACAGTGTCCTTTAAAGGACATGGACTTGGCTCCATCTCTGGACCCCCCAGGTTCCTCTCTGCGTCACGGTCACCGTCTTTGACCTTTAGCTGATATAAACAGAGTTAATCTCCCTGTGAGCTGATTAACCATTTATCTGCTCAGGTGAGGTAATGAACTGCACATGTCACACAATGATGTATAACACTGGAAAAACACTGCAAGAAACTCCCCCCAAAAAACTATAAAAGAAAACTGTAAAAATATCACAATAAAAGCGATGGTACTAGTGATAAGACCAAATGAGTAAAACAAAACACTGTAATAACATCCCAAGAAACTTTAAATGACATTTTTTTATAAAGCACAATAAATACTGCAAGAAAAACACCAAAAAAACCTGTAAAAATATACTGCTAAAGATAGCTTGGAAAGAAAAGCTTCTTCAGTTGGACAGAAGAAGCTTCTCGGATGAGAGGTGAAACGTCTTCAAGCAACTTCAAGAAGTCCAGACGCTTTTCTTTCCAAGCTCCTTAGACTACGATGGCCTGGATGACTGAGAACCTTCACAGACATACTGCTAAAGATGTACTTACAAAAATGTAATGTGAATTTAATATAAGGTGTAAAACACTAAAGTATTTCACACCGGAACACCTAAGACAGCACAATAAAGACCAAAGCTGAAGGTTTTCTCACAGTAGTTATAGATATCTAATAATAAATAAATAAATATATTTTTAGCTCCAACCAACCCACAACAACTGACTGAAGACATCCCTCCCTCCAAAGAAACAGAAACATATGATGCTCTATGCAGAGGACTTGGCTTTAACTACAAATCTGAGAGCAAATTTCTCTCCGACGTCATTTCCTGTCCCTTAAATGATCACAGGTTTCAGACCTTACAGAGAAAGAAAGAAATAAAGGAAACGCCTCATAACCAATCACACGATCGCCACAGCCCATTTTTCCACCTGAATTCAGTCTGCCGGGTGTTCTTTCTGACATGTCACCCACACCTGCAGGAGTAACCCATCTGTGACGGCATGTGTTGGACGCAGCTTTGCTCCGTTCGTTGTGCGGTTTGAAGTCACACTAGGAGCATTTCGTCAGTGAGGGGTATTACATTTTTTAAACTGCAGAGACAGTCAGTGCTGTTAACTCACCTGCTCAGTGCATAATGAACAGACCCAAGCAGAAACACACTTCATTTGTGTTAAGGTGAAGCATTCGGTAGCCATTTATCAACAAAGACGTGATAAGATGTTGACATTTAAAGAAGAAAAATAACGACCACATCAAACTGACAAATGATCATTTTTATAACTGTAGTTTATGTGTTTAGCTCTGTATACACCTGTGCACACCGGCCTTATAATAATGTAAGATGTGCCGTTTCTGTTAGTCCTACATCAGTTACATTAACTTTACACCTGTATATACACCTGCATGTTTCGTATACAGGCGATACAGCTGTGTGAACACCATCTGAGCCTCTGTACTGACAGGAGTTTTATACAGGTGTTATGCTGCTGTGTATGAACCTCTGTCATTGCTGCCTGCTCTCACAGATGGCAGCACTGCTACGTTGGTGCTGCTTAGTGGTTTGTTCTCTCATGTTAAAGCCGGCAGAAATGACACACATTCAAACATCTGGATGTAAGAAATAATGACTAGGTTGATCTTTTTACACTAATGATGACGTCGATGGATCCGTGCTGTCTTGGCTGTGTGCTCCCTGCTGGACAAACACGGAACTGCAACACTCAGACACACATAGACTCGCTGGGACCCGATGCTGTCTGACGGTCTAACCGCCGCCTGACAGGAACTGCTACTCTGAGAGGGGTGATGATGTTTTAATTACAGGAGCACGTTCCTCATTTTTAAAAATAAACTCTGTTTAACATATTTACAGAAAATATCGACATTCACAGGAACTTCAAATGTTCACATTAATGTGCATGTGTGGCTTATATAAAGTTCTTTTCTCCCTCTTATGGGGGGAGAGATGGCATTTGAGGGGGGTGAAGAGAAGGGGAGACCTCAGTCCTCTGTGGTGGGTTCGGCTATCAGGTGTTGGCCTCTGGAGCATCTCCGCCTTCCACCTGGTTGGTCCTCCCAAGGGTCTTCAATTTGGTGAGCAGATCGCTGAACGTCTCCTTGACGCCCTTCTCGAGCAGCCAGCCCTCGCTCTCACACTCGGGGTTCTCCGGATCTGCCATCGTCTCAAGCGCTGTGCTCAAGTACTTCAGCCCTGCCATGTCCACAGACTGACATAGACACACACAGCTCACATTTAGGGCAAATCCAGGAAAACCCATCCAGCCAAGTACATGTAATATTTTATGACCTCATCATTTTAAGGTGAATCTCTGGTTCTGACCGAGTTTTAAATCCCTACAGTCCCCCCAGAGAACATTGTGGGGACAGGAATGTTGTTTGTGGTCATTTTTAGTTGGTATTAGTAGTTTTGTGCTCATTTAACTGACTCTGTCAAAAGAAATGTGAAATTTTCTGTTAGAAGGCTTCAATACAATTTTGGGCCCTTTTATTTTCTTTAGCAGCACCCTAACGACAATTACACATCATTGTTTGCTTTGTTCAGAGAACAGCGTGAGAGCCTCAGAGTGGCAAATGCAATATCATGAGCATACAGTCGCACTCTGCTTTGTTAAGATTATAGACCGAATTGCAAACTACAGAGAACCTGGTACTGAACCCTGAGGCTCGCCCTGTAAACTGAGGAAAAACTGGGTTCAGGATGTTGTTTTTTTAACTTAAGCCTTTCAGGTCAAACATGTTGTTTTGACCCAGATTCCAACTCACTTCTCCCTCTCAGGAAGTGTCCCTCATCCTTATTTTCCCAGAATGCAACCTGCTGTTTCTGTGGACAGATTAACCCCCCAGAAATAGCTCCTTATCCTCAGTGAGCCTGACCACCACTTAATGTGACACCAGATGATCCACCTCCTGAGTCACGTATGAGCACAACAGAAATCACACAGAAACAGTCATGCAGAGAATGTGTGCGTTTTCATGATGCAGTTGGAGCCACACAGAGAATTTAAACAAAACGGCGTTTTTAAATGGTGTGTGCCGTGATACAGCAGCCGCTCAGGAACATCAGCACTAATGCTAATCCCACACTAATCAGTTATTCTGTTAACCTGCTCACTCCGCTGAGTTTACTGCAGCAGCGCTGCTGCAATGATCTTGTTCTACATCACAAGATTAGGAAGAGAACTTAGCCTGGATTCACCCGAGAGAGAAAGTCAAAGACTTAAGCCTGTTCACTTTGAACAAATGAGTTAAAAACAGCACCAAACACACATTCATGGATTTTTTTTCCATTGCTTTTTCAAACAAAGCACCCGGCTTTAGAACAGCCACATGCCCGGTTTCTCCTGTACAATGTGAAGCTTTCATTAGAGCAGAAGGTAAATAAAGTGAAACTAACAAATCTGTCTGGCTTTTGCCCCCTGGTAGGGTCTCCCATGGCAAATTGGTCCTGGGTGAGGGACCAGACAAAGAGCGATTCAGAAGACCCCTATGAAAAAAACACAGAGGGAACAGTTTACCCTGCCCGGGATAGGGTTACCGGGGCCCCGCCCTGGAGCCAGGCCCGGGGAGGGTGCCCGAGGGCGAGC